TGATGACTTCCAAGTTACTTACATGCTGGACTGGAAATATAGAACAATTTAGAAGGAAAGAGTGGAAGAGAAGACAGTGAGATTAAAAAGGGATAAATTCTTCAGAGTAAAACTGAATAGTTTCACAAATGGTCACTGAGGCATTCTAGAAGATCATGGTTGTTAATGAGTAGATAGCAACTGTCTCCTATGGTGTGCAAGCTTTGAAGAAAGAAGAAAGGGGATTTCCCACATCTGTGATTGCTCTAACCCCTCTGTCTGAACATGCAGGCAATTAAATTTAGAGGCATTTCATCCCCAAACAGCTAAGAAACAAATAGTCATTCAAATAAATATAAGATTCAATTACTGTATTAGTATATTATATTTGGATAAATATTCTTATGCTGTAAAGGATAGGCCTTGATGAAGTTGTTTCTTTACTCATAGTTTGATCAATTAAATTCATTCATTTATTCATTCAACAAACTGAGTCCTTAGGATGTGCCAGGCACTGTGCTAGACACAAACATAATTAAGAACACAGTCCCTACCAGGAAGGCACTTAAGCTAGTCAGAGAGACAGGCACACAAACAGAAACTTAGAAAACAATGTGGCACATTAAAAAATAGAGAGGTACACAGGTTATAGAAAAATAAGGAGGGACACCCAATCCAGCCTGGAGCAGGAAGGAAGGAAGAGGAAAGAAAGATCGGGAAGTCTCCCATAACACAGCGGTGCCTGGCTTCTTCCCCTATAAACCTTGTAGGCTAAGAATAATGTATTTTCCTTCTCAGTCCTCTTTTAGCCAAGTCCTAATGGCTGTAAATCGTAGAGATAAGAACTAGAAATAACTGGATAATGCAACAGGGCATGCATATTTCTACAAAAATGATGAAGCATCCCCCATAAACAGGTGAGACGACACGGAGCATCGTGCAGCATGGAGGCACTGTAGTAGCATCTGGAGAGTTTGTGCTTTATGGCTGAAGTGAGGCTGCTTCGGTGTCCGGCCAAAAACATATTGGAGCATCAGTAAATAAATATCACTGCCATGATATGCTGATGTTAGGTGGCATTTTTTCTTCAGACTCCGCAGAACTAAAGAACTTCTGCAATCACACATCTACAGTAGATACTACATTCAGAAGCAGAAGGTGGGCGCTTGAAAAAAACTCAAGATCCTAACATAGAAACCTTTAATTCACAGAGGAGGAATCTGAGAGGAAACCTGCTTGTCTGAGGCCATGCAGCTCTTTACTAATAGCGATGAAACAAGAATGCGGGTCCAGGTGATTTCTTTCTTTATTTTTTTAAAACTTGAATAATATCTGAGTGTCGAGCTATGTGCTGAGTACAAAATATGAAATTTATACTCACTGATACGTCTCTACTGTCCTCCATTCAACCTCCTGCCACAAGTATCATACAGTCTCACTCATAAATACTTTAGATGTATCTATAAGATATACTTTTAATGAAACATAATCACCATGTCATTGCGCTCAATTTGCTAATATCATCAAATACCCAGTTTAAAATTGAAAGTATCTAATGATCATAGATGGGTTTTTATGATTGTGTAAATTGGACCCAAATCAGATCTAATAACATTGCCCATTAAACGTCTGTTTGTTGCCATTATTTTTTTGAAGAAGCAAGGTCATTATCTAGTAGAATACCCCAGTCTGGATTTTGCTAATTGCAACCTCAGTTTTCACTAACATGTTCCTCTACCTTCTGATTTTTTTTTTTAACCTCCATCAACTAGTACTTAGATCTAATACCTTGATCAGATTAAGGTTCAATTTTTTGACAAAAATACTTCGCAGGTGGTTCTGTGTACTTCCCATCACATTACGTCGGGAGGCAAGTAATGTTGGGTTGTCTTTCCTTTTGTGATGTTACGATTAACCCAGCAGGTGTTGTCAAACTGACCCATCCATTCTAAAATGCCAAGGGTGCTATGTTAGATGGGGTGTTCAGACAAGGCCTTTCTGATGAAGTGACCTTTAAGCTGTGACCTAAGGATGAAAAAGAGCCAGTTCTGCAGAGCAGAGGAAGAGTGTAGCAGCTGCAAGCCCGGCAGTATGAAAGAGCTTGCCATATACCCAATCGCCCCTCTCAAGATCTGCAGAGCTTTCTTTCCATTCTCCACCACTCCCAGTAGCTCTTCCAATCTCCAACAGGTGGAAGCAGAGAGCTCTGTGCCCAGAGGTGTCAGGAACCCAGTGGCACTTTGAGATACAGGTGGTCACAGGTGCACAACTTTGCTCTCCTGAAAACGCTTAGGACCAGGACTATTTTATCAGACTCAGAGACCTAGGGGACAAAACAACCTGGTCTCTCTCATGACACAAACCAACCGGCCATTTTATAGGACATGAGAGCACGGCCAAAATATGGCTCTCAGGGTACAACTCATTTGCTCACATTACATACTACTCTTCTTTTCTGGAATGTTCTCCACCAGACTCAAAATAGTCGTGGTTCAAGTTTCTCTTCTGAAAAATGGAAAAAGTGCCAAAACATCTCACAGGGTTGTGTCAAAGTCTGGTCTTTGTTTACAAAGCCAGACACCAGTTAAAGTGCTCAGGATAGATTTTAATCAGTAATATACTACTGCAATAGAGAAAAGAGTCCAGGATGAACTGTACTCAACTTTCATTTGTACAGAGGTGACTGGGCTCTTTAAAGGGAGAACGAGGGAAGAGGGTGAGGGTGTCTCAGTAGGGACAGGGCAGTGAAAAATTACAAACTACAGGAAGGGAGGGTTGATCCCTGTAAAACTAACTAGGGTTTGCTAACTAGGGCTTATCAAGACTCCTCCCCTCCCACAGAGGCCAGGAGACAGGAGCCCTGTCTTCAGGTGTTGGCTGGAACATACAGTAAATTTTCTGACAACCTTGAGTTTTCTCAGGTAGGCATGTTAAGGGGGGGCTAGGGTCATCCAATGAATATGCCTCGAGCTTCCAGAAACTATGTTTGTTCATGTCTTTATGGACCAAGGTGGACAGGTATAGTTAAGAAGAGGCTTCAGAGGAGCCTGTCCAGAGCGGGATCGAGGAAAATTTTTGTCACTTGTTACGAGTATTAAATGAGATACTGACTGTGAAAGTACCTGTAATACTATAACACAACACATTAGTGTCAATGGACACATTCATTCATGTAACCAATCATATCCCTTCCCCTCCTTCAAAATGCTTATTAAAATTCTTCCTTACACTGAGTCCCAACTACTAAACATCCTGCCACTCAGTGATAGCACCTATTACATTATGTGCTAGGTATTTTACATACATCATAACATTTCCTTCAAACAACCCTATTAGGAAATATTATTTTACAAAAGAGGCTCAGAAAGTTTAGGTACTTGATCAAGGTCACACAGCCAGTAAGAGGCAGAAGTCAAACTTACATTCAACTCTGACGATTGTTACCTGGTTCCATTAAACAAGAAACTCCTTTCACTCTTTTTTTTTTTTTTTTTTTTTTTTGCATTTCATCACTTATTTAATGTTTACGCTCTCACACTAGATTTTTACAAGCTGGTGAACAATGACAAATTATTTCTCCCACAGAACTATAAACACATGTTCCCAGACAGTATAAATATATGGTTGAGCTAACGTTAATACACCTCACCATTTTATCCATTACATAATAAAACAAATTGTCAAGTATCCAAATATTAAGTTACAGAGCTCAAAAGGTGTATAAAATAAGTTGGTAAACAACTTCAGGTAAGTATGAAAAAAAATTACAAGAATTTCAGAAATTTTATGATTAAGAATTGTTTTAGCTACAATAACAAAGTATTTCTGCCCCAAAAGTGCAAACATTAAAATTAACTATAAGGCTTTTTTGTCTGGAGACCTTAAAAAACATGTGCTTCTGTACAATGCAGATTTTCAAAATGGAGGTGTTCCATAACAGCACAAAATGAGATTTATAGACAGACATTAAATAATCACTGTTTCTAACCACTCTTATGGGGGCATCTTTGTGGAGTATAATGAATTTCTATAGTTCACTTGTCTGCATAGAGGTCGTGCTGTGCCTGGCAGTAATCTCCACTGCCCTTCAGAAACTCCATAAACGTGTGACCAAGAACACCACAGAACTGAGGAATATGTCCACTCATTGAAGACTGTGGCCTAATCATACAGCTGGTCCCGAGGCGGCGGCGGCAGGGCAGGGGCGGCGGTGGTCGTCGCGGGGCGGCGGCGGTTTCGCAGGCTCGGGCCGGGGCACCGGACTCGGTCCTGCAGCGAGCGGCTCCGAGAAGAGCGCGCAGCCTCGCCGCCCCGCAGTCCCGAGAGCCAGTATGCGTGCGGCGGTCTCCTTTCGCCTTTTAAGTGGTTCAGTTAAAAAGAAAACCAATTTATTCTTAACACACTGGACGTGTTTCTTGCTCATGAGATTTTTTTTGTGAGACTCGAACAAGATCCTAAGATATTAGAAGGGCAAGAGTGAAGTTACTCACCTTTCAGTTTATGAAATATTTCTACGGAACCACTATGCGTGGTAGATATTTAAGCCATTGCTTAAACATCAGGACACAGATTAGTAAATGCTAAATTGTTCAGTCCAGGAAAGAGATCATCAGGACAGTCGGGAACGGTTCCAAGGAAGATTGGGGTGGGGGGGGCGCCGCGTGGTATGTGGGATCTTAGTTACCTCACCAGGGATGGAACCCATGCCCCCTGCAGTGGAATCGCGGAGTCTTAACCACTGGACCGCCAGGGAAGTCCTTCAAGGACGATCAGAATTGAGCTGGATCTTAAGGGATCCATAGGATATTGATTCTGAGAAGGAAACAGAGGGACACTCCAGAAGGTGGGGAGCAAGTAGAACCTTATATATATATCCCTGTAATTCGGCGTATATACTGTCACAGAGCTTGCGTGACCAACAGTTTCGTTCATCCGCTGATATTACCATAAACGGAAGCTAACTTGGAAGTTTAAATTATACGTCCGAAGTAAGAACACCTGGTCGAGGAGCACTAAACGGTGATCCACGCGAGCGATCCTGGTGCCTTTGGCGCCCCTTAGCGGGACCCTCCAGTCCTACTACCTGAAACCACCGCAAGTCTGAGCGTAATCGTTTGCCTCTATACAACACCACGCCAAACTCCACGATTACCGAGGGGTCACGACACGTACTTTCCCGCCGCGCTAGCTCTACGTCCTCCTTTCCGCACAAAGGCTGCGGGAGGAGGGGTCGGCGCAAGCGCTCTGAGTTTCTCGGAAAATAGAGTCATCATCCCGCCTCCTGGCGCAAGCCGGTAGAGAAACGCATGCGCTGTGAGGAGGCAGGGACTTATTTCACGCGGCGGTGACGTAATGACAGAGGAGGAGGCGGCCCAGGAACGGAAGCCGGGAAAGAACCAGGGCGGAAGGGGACCAGGGCCAGGGCTGTGTTCGGAGCCTCGGCTGGCCTGGGGTTCCAATGTGGTCCCCGGAGCGGGAGGCCGAGGCCCCGGCCGGGGGTGACCCGGCGGGCCTACTGCCCCCCGAATGGGAGGAGGATGAGGAGCGCATGTCCTTCCTGTTCTCCGCTTTCAAAAGGAGCCGCGAAGTGAACAGCACCGACTGGGACAGCAAGATGGGCTTCTGGGCGCCGTTGGTGCTGAGCCACAGCCGCCGCCAGGGGGTGGTGCGCCTGCGTCTGCGGGACTTGCAGGAGGCCTTTCAGCGCAAGGGCAGCGTCCCGCTGGGGCTGGCCACCGTGCTGCAGGACCTGCTGCGGTGAGGGCGGGCCCGTTCCGGGGGTGGGGCGGCTCCCCGCGGGCAGGGACCCAGGTCGTTCTCCGGAGCGCACCGCGACCAGCCCGGGGTCTGGCCTCCAGGAGCCGTCTGTGTTTGCTCACTGGGCGAAGAAGGAGGCCGGGTTAGGGGTGTTTGGAGGGAGAGGGAGGCGGGGTATGGGGGGAGATTGAGGGGCCAGGATAGCCCCTCAGAGGGAGAGATTAGATGAGATCCAGACGGTAAGAGAGGAAGCCCGCCTGGCGGAGGTGACAGTGATTTGTCTGGACTGGAATCCCGTTATGTAGTTATTTCGTAGGGGCTTCCACATTTGAATAACCCCGGAACAGAAGGTCTGTGAGACAGGATTTATTGAACTAAGGAAGGGCAGAGCTAAGAAGGTAGTGGTGGGGAAGAGGCCTGTACGGGTCTTGCCAGCAGCCTCCGCCCCATCCCCGCCACAGGTCATGTGTCTGGCCTCTCTTGGTGACCCGAGAAGGTCCTGTAGGTGCTACCTGTGCGACAGGTGCAGGGTTTTGGAGGTTCCTGAGGCGGTAGCATGCACATGAAACAGACGTACTGCACTTCGCAGCGTGCAGGCATTATGCATACACCGTCTGGCTCCCTCAGCAGTCCTGTGGGTGAGGTGGTAGAATTATCCTCAGAAGAGGAAGCTGAGCCACAGAGAGGTCGAGCGACTTGCTGGGGGTTACACAGCTGGATAGAGGCCATGCCGGGGCTGGACCCCGGGGTCTTCTGATTCTAAAGCATTTGCACTTCACGTTGTATATGTCATACCCAGAGCAGCCTCGCTAGCACAGTGACTCCCTCCGTGACTGAAGACGAAAGTCAACTTTGATATGTTGCTTTCAGCTCTCTGCTCTTCCTGGTTAAGAGATCTCCCTTCTCCCCAGCCCCCTTCCCTTGGCTGACATTGATAAGGCAAGCCATTTCTGGAACTTCACCTTTCTGGGAAAGTGTGCTGTGGACAGTTTGAGTTCATGCCCAACGTGGGGAGACAGTAGCTGAAAAAGTCCGTGAGGGGCAGGAAGAGTCGGGGCTTCCTTATTACAACAGGACCATCCTCTGCCACTTCCCACCCAGAGACCTTTAGTACCTCGATTTCTCCTCTCCTGACTGCTGGCGCTGCACTGATGCCCCTTGGGGCTTGATGGGGTCTGGGACCTGAAGAATTTCTCAGGGAGATATTTTTCCATAGAAGCAGCATAGCAGAGTAGATAACAGCTTTGCCTGAGGGCCAGATGGCCTGGGTGCAAATCTTCGCTCTGTCACGTGCAAAATTATGTGACAGAGGAAAAATTATATGCCCCTCCCTAAGCCTGAGTCTGGCCAGTTATCAAATGTGATGATAATTGTACTTAGATTTATTGTATTTGAAGAGATACTCCTTATGTAGCCCTTAGCATAGCGACTGGCCCAGGGGAAGCATTCAGTAAATTTAGCTACTTAACACTAGTACCATGAAATGCCTATGTCTTATCTCCACCCAAGCCTAGGAATAGCAGAAAACCCTTTCTCTGAACGTCTTTGTATTCTTCCTCAGGTCTTGCTCTTGACATTAATCCGTTATTGTTGTTTTCATTTTATCGTTTTGAGCTCCGTTTGTAACGGGAAGTCTCAACATAGGCTGTGTGGCCTCCTGTGCCTCTCTGTAGTCTTAGTGGAGAGCTTGCATTTTGGAGCCAAATCATAGTTTAGCTTTGGCCTCTGTCATCTTCTCAGTCCCTCAATTTTTTCTCGCAGAAAATTGTGAGGCTTAGAGCTGGAGCGTAAACAGTACCGCTCACAGTAGCCGGCACGGAGTAGGTGCCCGGTAAATGGTGTTTATGATGATGACCAAATTCCTCTCTGGGGGTAAGGAGGGAGGTGGGGACATTGCAGTAAGCCTTACTACATGTCTTTTTCTTTCTTTGCCTGCAGTCGAGGGGAGCTGCAGCGGGAGTCAGACTTCATGGCCAGTGTAGACAGCAGCTGGATCTCCTGGGGGGTCGGAGTCTTCCTGCTGAAGCCCCTCAAGTGGACTCTTTCCAATATGCTAGGGGATAATAAGGTTCCTGCCGAGGAGGTGCTCGTGGCCTTGGAGCTTCTTAAGGTGGGTACTCAGAAGCAAGAGGTCTGGGTGTCATCTGGAGTGGTGGCAGGACCCTCCACGTTCCTTGGGTTGCTTGGGTGAATGGTTAGAAAAAGAACGGATCTTTTTTACACGGTGACAGAGTTGATAACTGAGTTTATCTAACCTCCCTTTCGCTGTACTTCGTAGTCTTTTGTTGTTAGTTGGACCTGTACATTTCAAGGGTGAGCCTGTGTCTAGGAATTGTCAGTTAACACACAGTTGATTCTTTTCCGTACTTGTAGGGGTTAATGATAAACCAAAGTTTAGAAAATGCTTTGCCTTCTGTGGTTTATGTACAAAAATTTCTTTCTGAGGACCTTAGACTTTCAGCTTTGCCCTCCCCTAAATCAGCGAACTGGGCTCAGATGTCCTCCTTTTGGTACTTACTTACCTCCATGAAAGAAGCCACCAGGCCCTTGATCCCTTCATACTCTCCTGGTCACTCCGCTTCCTCCTGGCCTGCCTTCCGTCCGCAGCCCAGAGCATGCAGCTGTTGCTTGACTGCTTACCTTATCAACACCCTCGGGAGCCTCTGCAGCTTTCGGGCCACACCAGAGACACCAGCAAATCAGCCACCTTAGATCAGCCCCATGGTCCACCATCCCTGCCAGAGAAAATCGCTGTATCACCAAGCCTGGGGCCCCTTTCAAGGTCCCCAGCTTTAGGAGGGCCCTGGGAGCCACTCGGCAGCCCAGTGTTCTTGTCCCCTCCCCGGCCCTCCCACACGCCTTGCATTCTCTGCAGTCACTGCACTGAGAAGGTAGAATCCCCTTAGTCGTGCCTTCAGCTGTCTGTCCTCCCACCTCCAGTTTGACTTCCTCTGAGCCCTGCTTTCTCCCCAGGCTCAGAGGATGAAGTGTCCTTCCTGTGTTCCACGTGTGCTCGCGAGTCTGTCCCTACCCTTTGTGGCATCTGGGACCCTCCAGATCTGTATATTCCTTTGCCCTGTCTGTCGGTGCTCTCCTTCTTCAGCCTCTAAATCCACTCTGGTTTTCCCATCTCAGGATGACTCCTTGTGGGACCTGGGGCCCCTCCTAGTCACTGCTCTGCCTCTCCTTCTCAGCCAAGCTTTGTTGTCCCCACGTCCTCACCTCCACACACCCTTTAACCCAGGGCAGACCTGCTTCACCCCCATCGTTCCACCCAACTGCTGTGGGCGAGGTTATAGCAACCTTAAGTGTGTGCGTGTGTGTGTTTATAAAGTTGACTAAACACCAGGTGGCAGAAGTAGACTCGGAGACAGTGGTTATTTTTGAAACTCACAGACCAAGCCCAACCTCAGGGCCCTTGCATAGCCCTGGAGGCTTCCACACTGCTGGACCCAGGTCGGAATCCCCCGCCCCCACCCCATGAGAACCTCCAGTTTCTCCTCACCTCCACAGACACCCCCCAGCACCACCCTTCGGCCTGGGGAGCAGGTCTCCAAAATCTACCAGCTCTCTCTGTCCCCCGGGAGTTTTGACTGAACAGCATGCATTTTCTTCAGGGGAACACCTCTCCCCCTTTGCGCTGTACCCCCTCCCCTCCCAGGGCCCTGACCTCCAGGACCTCCGGGGCTCAGCCAAGACCCCACAGAAACCGTGGGGTGTTTTAGGTGGCTCTGGGCCACCTCCATGCCTCCTTGCGGTCTTTTACCTCCGGTGTTCTCCAGTCTGGAGCAAAGAGAGGTAGATCCATTTATCCCCATAGATGTGATTTTAGACTCAGTCTTTTGAGAGCAAACGCAGAGATGGGGGTGGGAGTGGAATTACATAGATCTTCTAAGGACCAACAATAATTTCTGACAGCAAAGTAGTCTAATCCTATTTAGGTAGAAAAATAAATTTAGCTCTTCAGGGGCATGGACTGTTGAATCCATACCCAGCTTACGTCACTAAATAGAACACTTAACACTTATTCCCTTTCGGTGACATCTGCTATCAAATATATGGTGACTTCAAAGATATGGTTTTCTCCTGGGTTAGAGACTTGTTTTCATGTGTGAAAATAAAGGGTCTTATCTGGATATTTTTATAAAACAAAAAAGCCTGTTTCTGCGGTAAATTGGTTTTCCCAAGTCTAAACACAGAAAGCAGCCAGCAACTTTTAATTTTATTTGAAAAAAATACCAAAAAGTAAAAATTGCCCATAGATTTTGCTATTTAAAAATTTAAAGAAAGAAATTAAAATTTCCTTTCTATTCATCCCATTTCCATGTCTTTGGGTCCATTCCCTTCCTGCTTGTGTCTGTAAAAACACACACATCTTTTCTTATTGAGCCTATTATATTACTTTCCATTGTATCTTCTTGTTTGCATTTAATACTTCCTGGAAATCTTATTTACTTGTTTACTTATCTACTATATAAGCTGTCTCCCCTACCAGAAGGAGAAGTTCCATGGGCTCTGGGAACAGTGCCTGGTACCTAGTAGAGAGTCAGTAAATATTAGTTAAGTAAATAAATGAATATACACATACATACATATGTATATACATAGACTCCATTTTTTTTCCAGAAATGGAATCTGCTTTCACCTATTGGTCTGCACCCTCCTTTTTTTTATTTTTCACCTTAGTATATCATGAGCATCCTTCCAGGTCCCTACACAATATGGATCTACTTCATTCTTTCGGATGGCTGTGGAATAATCTATAAACACGCCACAATTTATGCAATAGTTACCAAATGGATATTTGAGTCATTCCAATTTCTCCCTACTGCACAAAGATACTTCTTTGACAGCCTCGTGCCTACACGTATGTACTTCTACTTTTATTTTTATGGAATTGATTTCTAGAAGTGCATGTGTACATTTTAAATTTTAACAGAAATTGCCAAATTGCTTTTCAAAAGTTTGTGTAAATTTACACTTTGACGAAGATTGCATTGAAGTGTCCAGTCTCTTCACATCCTTGCCAGCACTGGATAACAGCAATCTTTCAAATTTTGCCAATTTGATGAACAAAAATGATACTTCCTATTGGTGATTTGAGCATCTTTTCACCTATCTACTGGCCATTTACATATTCCTTTCTGTGAATTGCCTCTTTATATCCTTTGCCTGTTTTTTATTTTGGATTCTTTGTCTTTTATATTAATTTGTAGGAGTTCTTTATTAGGGATAGATAGATACATAATATATTTAGTATTAGGGATGTTAATATTGTTTCCCAGTCTCTTGTTTGCTTTTCATTTTTATTTATGATGTCTTTTTTTTTTTTTCTTTTGCGGTACACGGGCCTCTCACTGTTGTGGCCTCGCCCGTTGCAGAGCACAGGCTCCGGACGCGCAGGCTCAGCAGCCATGGCTCACGGGCCCAGCCGCTCCGCGGCATGTGGGATCTTCCCGGACCAGGGCACGAACCCGCGTCCCCTGCATCGGCAGGCGGACTCTCAACCACTGCACCACCAGGGAAGCCCATGATGTCTTTTACTATATAAACGTTTTTATATTTCTACAGTCAGAGTTCTCAAATTTTCCTTCATGGCTCTTGAACTTCTGCTCATGCTTAGGAAGGCATCCTCTACTTCAAGGTTATCAGAGTTTTTAAATATTTTCTTCAAAGTATTTTATACTTTCATTTTCTCAATTTAAGTTTTAATAATTCGGTATGTAGTTTTGTATATGTGGTAGAGAAAAGCTGTTTTCTTCTAAATGAGTAGCCAGTTGTCTTAACATCTTTTGTTACTGTTGTGTACCATTAATGTGTGTGTGTGTGGACAGCACACCATTCTTATTACAGTAGCTTTGTAGTAAATGTTTTTATCTGACAGCACAGTCAGATCTAATGAAAGCTCTAGTTTCTGTCTTATCAGACCCCTCTGCTGCCTTGGATACTGTTGACCACTCACTCCTTAAACTTTTTCGTTACCTTGACCTTGTTGTCACTACAGTGCAGGCTCTCCTTGGTTCTCCCCAAGCAGTTTCTGGATCGCTTTTGTGAGTTCCTTCATCTCCCGAACGTTTTGAATGTTGGTCTTCCTTCAGCTTATTACTTTGCTATCTGCATTTTCTTGGGTAACTCACTTATACTTGCGATTTTAATTACCTTCTATATGCTGAGGACTTTCAGATTAATATATCTCCTGTCCTGGCATCTCCTTCGATTTATTTATTTATTTATTTATTTATTTTCGGTACGCGGGCCTCTCACTGCCGTGGCCTCTCCCGTTGCAGAGCACAGGCTCCGGACGCGCAGCCTCAGCGGCCATGGCTCACGGGCACAGCCGCTTCACGGCACGTGGGATCTTCCCGGACCGGGGCACGAACCCGTGTCCCCTGCATCGGCAGGCGGACTCTCAACCACTGCGCCACCAGGGAAGCCCAGAGCTTCAGAATTTTATATCCAGTTATCTCCTGTACAATCTCAAGCATCCCAAACCAACATGTCCAAAACGGAATGTTTTGTCTTGCCTTTAAAAGTATGCTTTTCCTCCTGAATTCTTGTTAATCCACCCAGTCACTCAAGCCAGAACCCAGGAGTCATCCCAGATTCCTCTTTTGCCTTTCCCCCCAGACCCAGTTACCATGGACTGCCAGTTTTTTCTTTTAACTTTTGCTTGAATCCCTCCCTCTTTGTCCCTATTCCCATTGCCCTGTTCAGTCCCTCGTATTCTCTTGTATCAGTGGTCTCCCTGCCTCTGAGCCTAACTCCTACAATCCATCCTTTCCCCTTTGTCAGCTACATCTCTGTTAATCTAGCCATGGCCTTCCCTTCAGGGACTACCCACCATCTGCAGAGTAAAGGACAGCATAGAAGATACATTACACTTTGTGTGAGGTAGAAGGGCTTCTGCTGTCTCAGCCCTTCCCACCCGCATCCATAAACACCACACTGGACTCAGACTCCCTGCCGTTGAGGGACTCGTGACCGTCCCTCTTCCCACGATGCCCTTCCCACCGACTTCACCTAATGACTTATTCACCCTACAGGATTCTGCTCAACAATCTTTTTTTTTTCTGAGCAATTGCTGAACTCCTTTGGTATTCCTTCCCTGTATTTTCATAGCATTCTGTGCATACTTCGGTAAATATTTCTTGTTTACAGGAGACTGAGAGAGTAATTTCCATGAAAGAGGAAGACAGTGGCATTGTTTTTCTTAGACTTCTCACAAAAATCCTATCCCACCCATTTGTCACATAAGACTCTTTATAGACTCAATAATTTTCCGGTTTGCAGGATTGCCATTTGGCATAAAAATGGAGAGACCAGGGGCTTCCCTGGTGGTGCAGTGGTTGGGAGTCCGCCTGCCGATGCAGGGGACGCAGGTTCGTGCCCTGGTCCGGGAGGATCCCGCGTGCCGCGGAGCGGCTGGGCCCGTGAGCCATGGCCGCTGGGCCTGCGCGTCCGGAGCCTGTGCTCCGTGACGGGAGAGGCCACAGCAGTGAGAGGCCCGCGTATCACAAAAAAAAAAAAAAAAAAAAAAATGGAGAGACCAGGATTGGCAGGGAATTTTAAGTATCATCTCATCCACCTTCTCCAGTTGGTGAGTGGGATGCTGAGGACCAGTGACTGACTGGTCCAGGGTCACACAGGCTAGGCCAACCACCAGGCCTTGGCTCTCATTCCTGGCCATTGCACCCCACCACACCACCTCATTCTCCCCTTGGGGGATCACAGGCCAGGGAGCTGCAGAGACATGAAGTCCTAGCTGGAAGGGCAAGCACACATCTGGCTCCCAATATATTACGTACCTCATTTTATCCGTGTTCCCCAGACTTTCCTCCGAGGTTTAAAAAACACAAATCCTTTTTCCTTTTCCAAAGCTGAAGACAGGGTCGGAGCTCCCCTGCTCTTGCCTTGTGTGATCGTGGATCTGAAGCACGGGGTCAGGGCTCTCTGGGTTCTGTGGGCAGCGATCAGGGCCCGCAAGCACCTTTCACTTTCCCCGCAGGAGAAGGCTGAGGAGGTGTATCGTCTGTATCAGAACTCCCCTCTCTCCTCGCACCCCGTGGTGGCCCTGTCGGAGCTGAGCACCCTCTGTGCGGGCTCCTGTCTGGACGAGAGGACCTTCTACTTGGTGTTGCTGCAGCTGCAGAAAGAGAAGCGAGTCACCGTCCTTGAGCAGAATGGGGAGAAGGTATGGAAACTCGCTGTTCCTTCCCTGCCTCACCGAGCACTTGTTCAGTGTGTACTGACATGCCCGCCGGCATCCCTGCCTGGTGATTTCTCAGCATTTGGGGTCGGGGCGGCAGTAATTTGTCCCTGTCCCTCAGATTGTGAAGTTTGCCCGGGGCCCACATGCCAAGGTCTCTCCTGTCAACGACGTAGATGTCGGGGTTTACCAGCTCATGCAGAGCGAACAGCTGCTGTCGCGCAAGGTGGAGTCCTTATCCCAGGAAGCAGAGAGGTAACTCCCCCTGAGCTGAGCACCCCTGACCTCCACCCTGGCCCTTAGAGCTGGCGTCCGTGGGCGCTTAAAAAAAAAAAAAGGTTACTTATTTATTTATTTATTTTACTAATTGTGAAAGTACTGACTGTTCAGTGCAGCCATCATGGAAGGCACAGACTATCACAAAGGAGAGAAAAATGAATTCCTCCCCCAAAGAGTATAGCTTTTAACGCTGTGTTTATGCTCTTCCGTGCCAGTATCCGTTTAGCCAGTGTTTATTGAGCTAGGCCTTGTCTTGGGGACTTGGGGATAAAGTAGTGAAGGAGACAGGTCTCTGCCTTCCAGGGGTCTCGCTGAGGGACCTCTGCTCTTCCCCTCCAATGACTATGCAAGGCGTCCCTGCTAAAGGCACATTACCACTTCTCCAAAACGTAGGGTATGTAGGCATGGAATTAGAATGTGCTTGTTCACTCCTTCTTACAGTGGGAGAGACCCCATGTTGTGGGAAGGCCAGCGTCATTGGTGGCGTTAGGAAGTCATTCCCTACCTCCTGGCTCCCAGGATGGGAATTTGTCTTCAGGGTGCCTCGTCAGCATGTTTGCACACCGCCCCCCCACCCGCCCCGCCCCCGCTGTGGGTTGAAACAGCTTTTCCTTGGTCCTTTGCCTTTCCCAGGGGCAGACCCGCCCAGCCCGCATCTCAGCTTGCTGCAGGGGTTTGGCAGTGGGCTGTTGGGCATCGTTTTTCTGGCCATTGGGTGGAATGAATTTGATCTTCAGATTTGAAAGTACCTTCACTAAAAGTGCTGCTCTTGGGGACACTTGAGGACCCTGCCACCCGCGTCCTCGGGCCTCGTCATCTTGAGCTGTCCCTTTGTTTGTAGGTATAAAGAAGAAGCCCGCCGGGCATGCCGAGCAGGAAAGAAGCAGCTGGTGAGTTCTCTGTCTTCCCCCCCACAGCTGTGTACCTGTGCCCACAGCGAGAGGAGCCCCAGTTCAGGGAGTGACCTTCTCGAGGGGAACAGTCTGCGGGTGGCCCAGACACCACAGCTTGTTTTACAAACCTGGGGTGGTCTTATCATCTGGGAAGGGCTCTCTTCCTCTAGCCCTTTTGCCTGCCCGGTCTGACCCTGACCATGACCATGTCTCCACACCCCGCCCCCCCCAGGCCCTGAGGTCTCTCAAGGCCAAGCAGCGGACGGAGAAGCGCATCGAAGCCCTGCATGCCAAGCTGGACACTGTTCAAGGCATCCTGGACCGGATCTATGCCTCGCAGACAGATCAGATGGTAGCCACTGCCCCTCTGCCCCAGTGCTTGGCTGGTCTCTGCGGTGTCCGCGGCTCATCCCCTCCGCTGTGGCTTTGCTGTTTGGAGGAGGCCTGGGTTCTTTCAGGATATGCTTGGGACTGCCTTTGCCTCTCCCATTGGCCAGTTTTGGCCTCAGTGGACATGGGGTGAATCATGCATGGGTGGGGGAAAAAAACCACAGAGCTTTCTTTTGGAGATGAAACAATATTGTCTGTATTTTGCCCAGTGCTCTTTATCTGCACTGATAACTTTGCCTTCTCTTTAGGTTTTCAATGCGTATCAGGCCGGGGTAGGAGCACTGAAACTCTCCATGAAGGATGTCACGGTGGAGAAGGCAGAGAGCCTTGTGGATCAGATCCAAGAGGTACAGGAGGGGGTGGGAGGACACACGTACACAAGGCAGTTCCTGAGGACAGGAGTGACTTCGTCGTACTTCCTTCTTTCCCAGACTGTTTACCCTGTGAACTTGAGGACGCTTTCCTTGATTCTCCAATGGGGCAGCATTACTTTGTAACCCTGAACACTGAGACCCAAAGACCATTCAGAGTTCAAGGCGTTGTGCTTTTCTCTTACAGCTGTGTGACACCCAGGACGAAGTTTCTCAGACTCTGGCTGGTGGGGTAACCAATGGCTTAGGTGAGTTGACATGGTGATTCCGTCTTCTTTCCTCTCTAAGATGACTTCAGCTCCTTGTGCTGTGATAGGTTTGGCCGTGGATCTGCTCTTTTTGGTGCAGGCAGGGCTGGCCCACCCTCCCCTCTCTCTGGGGCTTCTCCACAGGAGTAAGGAGAAGGAATTGGCATTTCCTCCTTGATAGGCTGTGCTAACGACCCCTTGGTGCTCTGGCGTCCCTTACTCCCTAGGCCTCTTCAAGGGCAAGGAGAAGCAGGGTCCATTCCATGGTGTTAGCAAAATACACCTCCTTGATGACTTGGCTCTGTGTATGGAAAAGGCATATCTGCTTGAAGGTGTCCTCTGCCTCCCAACTCACACGATTTTTTTAATAAACCTTCAAGGAGGCCTGGGCATCTTTTGTAAAGCCGAGCTGGGTTTGCAGTCCTCAATCCTTGACTCAGCAATGCGTTTCCTCCCTGGGCTTTATGTGTCCTTATGTCGTCTTTTCTTTCCAGACTTTGACAGTGAGGAACTGGAGAAGGAATTGGACATCCTCCTTCAGGACACCACCAAAGAACCTTCGGATCTGCCCGACAACCCCCAGGAGACGTTTTATACCAACAGTGTGCCTAACCCTAGGATCTCGGACGCTGAACTTGAAGCTGAACTTGAGAAACTGTCCTTATCAGAGGGAGGTACGGAGCTGTATTCCCAGGGCTGCTGGTGGGCTTGTGGTCCTCTGGCTGACAGTAGCGAGGCTCGAGGTTAACGTGTCCCACCCCCATTGCCCAATCTGCCAGGGTACCGAAGTCAGGTGAGGGAGTTGTGGGCTCATTATTCAGACTTGGTCCCTTAAACACTGGGATGCTTTCATCTCAAAGACTTACCTGGTACAGAGTTCAGGCATTTCTTCTCCTTGCAGGTTTGGTCCCAAGCAGTAAATCTCCAAAAAGACAATTGGAACCGACTCTATAAAGCCATTGTAGGACCCTCAAGTGAAGGACCCTCGTGTCAAAGAGAGACCAGGCTTGTGTGTGTGTACATAGTTATTTAAACGAGAAACTCTCGGAATGTGTTGGAAAGAGGAGGAAGGACAACCACTCTGATGTATCTGGATGCTACCACTTACTACGGGACAGATAGAATTTCTGGAAGCGTGCCCGCGAGGCGTGCTCCCAGCTGGGCTCATGGCCCTGCATTCTCATCTTTATAGTGCCACAGTTTATACAGTTCTGTGTTTGCCCTGTCATCTTTCATAGCCTGCGGCTCCTGCCACGGGCTCAGTTAGGTTTGTCTTCCCCCACCAGCTTTGTTCCAGCCAGCGAAGGTGAAAGATTCGTGCAGCTTTGCCAAATCAAAATCTGTCCTCGTCCCCCACCCTCACTGTGTTTAGAGGAGTTTATTCTGTCAGTAGGTCCGTTACACAGCCCTTCGCCGCCCCTCTCTGTTTCCATCGGTGGCGAGAAGAAGGAGAATCCAACAGCTGCCACGTTATGGAGAAACACACAGTGTGAAAGGTTCTCCCCTGGGGTTCAGATTCTCCAGGTGTTCAGAAAGAGAGGTAACCCCTGAGTGGCTCAAGAGTCGTGACGGTTGGAGAGGGGCCTTGTGGGGTTGGTGGCCACTGCCGCCTCTTCCATCTTATGCAAAAGAAGATCTGCTGACTGGAGAAATGGTTACTCTTGGTCTTTTGAACTTGACGAGGAGAAGCCCAGGTGACTACAGAGCCCCGGGTGTCCAAACCCCATATGCTTTCTTAAAAAGGTATCATCTTTGCCTTGCCCCCGTGGTGAATGAATTAAATATTAACTTAAATACATAAATCAGAAGAAGCCACGCAACAGCACACCTCCCCTTCTTGAGCCTGGCAGACAACAGCAGGTCATTTGAATTTCAGATTCGTTGTAGCCCACCACTCGGGGCAGGGGATCTGAGCCAGGATGTGCAATAGAAGCAGAAGACAGTGGCCTCGGCAACGTCTGCTGTGTGCTTCCCCGGTCCTGCGCTGCGCCCGGCCCCACCTCCTGAAGGCCCGTCCTCTACTTCCTTTGACGAGTCGGGGAGGATGGCGGAGGGGTCAGGCAGGAGAGGGCCTGAGTGCGCTGGCCCCAGGGAGAAGAAAGACAGCAGCCACACTGCCGCTCTGCTGCACAGTCCCAGACGCCTGCCTGGCCCTCGGCCCTGCCCCTCCTGCTTAGGGTGACGGAGAACAGAGGAGAGGAATTTGCTCCAGGCCAGGAGCACAAATCACTGTTCAACAAGTTTCTCTCCCACTCGGCCTTGGGAAACTGAAATGTTGGGGGTGAAGAGAAACAATCACTATTTTTTCTTTTTTTATCTGGTAAATAATTAAAAGAAAAACCCTGAGCGCCTCGTCCTCGTCTCTTTCTTAGGTTGTATAAAGTGCCTTGTTCCTTCCTGCATCCCCACCCTCACCTCCAGCATACACACACGGGTTCTTTCACTGACGCCACCAGGAGAAGGCTGACCGGCTTCCTAGCGGGAGTCCAAAGCTGCTGGGAAAGTGGTCAGCCTACCTGATGGCTCTCACGCCTATGCTGTTATTAAATGGCCTCTTTTGTTTAAGAATGTGTCATCATTTTCCTTACTCTTTTCCTTTCCCTCTTCCCTCTAGATGACCCACTTTCCTCAGCCAGTGTGATCGTACCATATTTTAGTCTGGCACCAGTATTTACTCAGCGCCTGTTACACGCGTGGGGTTTGCCGTCCATGGCGGGAGACAGGTTTTGAGCCTGCGAGCAGAGCTAGAACAGGCTAGAAGATCTGCCGCAGCACTTGGTACGTTAGCAGGTGAACCAACCAGGAAGACGTCTAGAGGAGCCAGGGGCAGAGACGGTTTGAACAGAACAGAGTGGAGATAGGCGCGGGGGGGGGGGGGGGGGGGGAGGGGGAGGGGGGATGTAGTAGGGAACCCTCTCCGCCCCCAAAAGTGTAAGTGCCTGGACTAGGAGCCTCTTATCTGCTCTCCTGTTACTCTTTCTCTCGCTGACCTGAGCTGATAAGGAGTCCTTGCTTCAATGTTTCCTCCTGGTTCTTTGCTGTGCAACAGGAAATAAAGAGGTTGAGGCTGGGCTTGGATCAGAGTAGGACGAGCCGCCGTCTGGTGGTGGCTGCATTTTCGGCATTGGATTCCCGTGGGGGGCCTGGGTCTGGCCTCAGGATTCTCTCCTCTTGAAGGAGTTGACTCGGTTTAATAAGGGAGCTGGTGAGTTTTCTTCTATGTGGAGAGAGATCAGGCCCAGATGAATCAGGTTCAGATGCTGTCCTATCGGGAGTGAAGTTCCCTATGGGGTCCAGATACACAGCGAGGACATTCGGGGAGCAACTATTTCAAGTTAAGGGCTCGGGGAGGGCTTCATTGAAGAGACAACGGCCAAGCTCTCATTTCCCTTGAATACTTCCTTGGGTTTTTTAAATCATGTCAAGCAATCTACAAGTTTTAGAATATCATATATCCTTAATTCCACTGAGATCAAGTAGGGAGAGAAAATGTAGCTAATCAGGTAGGGACTGGTCCTGATGTGGGTCAGGAAACTTGGTTCCAATTCTCAACTCCGCCACTAACTAGTGGCTTTGGAAACACGGGGCCTCTCGTTTCTCATTCATAAAGAGACGCAGACAGACAAGGTGACCTGGAAATTCTGATGGTCTTAGGGTCCTTCTGAGCAGTCTGCTTCTCCCTTCTCTTGAATCCTTGCTGCCTCGTGACGGGAGTCAGGGCAGTGCCACAGCAAAGCCAAGCCTGGAAAGGTGGCTGGAGAGTCCCCAGTCCCTGCCCGCTGGGGACATGAATGTGGTGTGCGGAGGGCAGGTGGGGGTGGGAGGAAGGGGACGGGCTCAGCCTCAGAGTCTGCTGGGACTCCGAGAAAGCGGCTCTTAGCCAGAGCCCTGCGGCCGCGTGGGCTCCGAGGTCGGGCACCCTGTTGTGAGAGGGCCCAGGAAGGGTGAAACTGCTGTGATTATCACTGCCTGCCCGAAGGGCAGAGAGAGTGTCCAAGGTTGAGCAGACCCCGGGAAGAGGTCAGGATATTCTGGTTCAGTCTGCTGGCACTGTCATCAAGGCCATCGGGAAAGAGAGAGAGCTACCAAAGCTGTTCAGAAGGGCGAGGCCACTGACAGAGCTGCTCACGCACAGGAATCCAAAAGCAACCTGGCTTTGGGGTTGACGGGGGAGTTTGGCAACTCTCTTTTCTTTTGAAGTATTTCACTGTTTTCTCCGCCAACGTCTCATTTTACTCAAGTTGCAGCTACTCTTTGGGGAAAGTGTGGTTCCTTTCCTCCTCCTGCACAGAAACAATAGACACCCGAGCATGAGAGCTGGAAGGAGTCTCAGCAACTGGTGGCAAAGCCTCCGTTTCACAGATGAAGACACGGAAGCTTTGGTGACTTGCCCAAGGCACAGAGTTCACAGGGGAACTTAGGACTGCTGTCTTCCGCGTTGGTAGTCTCTCGGTACACCAGGCTCCTCTTAAGGCAGGCTCTCAAAAACCATATAACTCCAAAGTACGCCACTTCCCGTGGTCGGTGGTGGGTGGGTGGTAGTCGGGTGTGTCAGTGCTTTGAGCTGGCAGCTCAGCTTCCTCTGGCTGTCAGTGCTGTGATTACACAGACTTCTGTGTGTAGAAAGCCACCTCCTAACTGGCTGGCCAGTTTCCAGGTTTTTAGGGAAACCAGGACAGTCTTCACACTGTTCCTTTGCTGATATGCACCATAACGGTAATCTTTCTTGACTGGTATTCTATAGCAGGCACATCAACTGTGCAGAAAAAACTTGCAGCTCTGGGCTGCCTTATACTTCCTGAAGGAGCCAGACTTAGGGCCCTTGTGAGATAACCAGTGCTGTGATTAGGTGACATGATACCCCCAAAGCATGTTGTGAACTGCAGGGCGGATCAGGCCTCAGCTAGTGGATTCCCATCCCTCTGCACAGTGTAATGAATGTAGGCCTGCTTTAATAATGGGCTAGCCTAGGATAATAACAGAAATGTATTTAGATTATACGTGTTGGAAAAGAATTCAGCCACACAGAAGTACCATGCTGTAGTTCTCAACCCAGGAAAGTTAAAAATTAACAAACTCAAGGGACTTGCCTGGTGGTGCAGTGGTTAAGACTCCACGCTTCCAATGCAGGGGGCCTGGGTTCGATCCCTGGTCAGGGAACTAGATCCCGCGGGCATGCCGCAACTGAGGGTTCACATGCCACAACTAAGGAGCCGGTGAGCCGCAACTAAGGAGCCCGCCTGCTGCAACTAAGACCGGCGCAACCAAATAAATAAATAAATAAAATTTAAAAACAAAACACAAACTCAAGTGATGTGCCTATTACATGTGAGCTAACAGATCAGAGGAGGAAAGAAGGAAGCTTTAGTTTGGGGCCCCGCCTTTCAGGAACTTAAAGTCAGAGGAAGGGTGTCTTAGTCAGTGCAGGCTGCTATAACAAAATGCCATAGACTGAGTGACTTACAAGCAACAGCAATTTACTTCTTATAGTTCTGGAGGCTGGAAGTCGGATATCAGACTGCCAGCATGGTCTGGTTCTGGTGAGGGCCAGCCCTCTTCTGGGTTGGAAATGGCCCCCTTGTCATATCCTCACATGATGGAAAGAGGGCAAGGGAGCTGTCTGGCATCTCCTTTATAAGGGCACTAATCCCGTTCATGAGGGCTCTACCCTAACGGCCTGATTACTGCCCCCCAAAGGCCTTACCTCCTAATACCATTACATTGGGGGTTAGGATTTCAACATATGAATTTGGGGAAGACACAAACGTTCAGTCTGTAGCAAAGGGTAATTCCAAGGTATCAGCACAATGAAGGATTAGTATAGCACTAGGAATTTGTAGAGCGGGGGTTGGATGGGTTGGGAGGAGAATGCCCAATCTTGGACTCTGGTTCCTATTTTAATGCAATAATAAAAAAAAATGAACAGTGGCTAACATTTATTGGGTGCTTACTGTCTGCTGGACACTACAGGTTGGGCTCTTCAGAAGCAGGCCTGGAGACAGAGTTTGGGGTATCAGGGTCACCACCTGTGAAGGAAAAGAGGAAGAAGCACTATTAGGGAGAAGAGCTCAATCTACAATGCAGGCCCCCTAAACTCTTGGTCACACTGGTGGAAAATTCTAGAGCAAGTATTGTCCATGAATGTCCCGTATCAAGCAGAAACAGCTAGGCCTTTATCCATCCCTACCCTTCTCCCTCAGTCATCAGGTACTCCTGGCAAGGGCCTGACCTCAGCTTGGTGGCTCTCTGCAGCTGGGGCAGCCTAGAAGGAGCTGACAGCTGGCTGGGAGGCTGTTGACCGCACTCCCTGCAGCTGGGCAGCAAATCCTTGAAGGGCGCCCTGGACAGTGCATCTCCATGACTCTCTGGCTGTGCTAAGATCTTTGAATGTATTTAATCTTCCCAATGAGACAGGTACTGTTACTTCACAAATGAGTTAACAGAGGCTTAGAAATGGTAAATAATTTGTCCAGGGTTACCAGTGGATGATTGTGGTTGTGATTTATAATAAGAAATATAAACGTGGTCTTTGTCCCTGTTTCTGGCACAGAGCTCCGAAAACCCTTGGAATTTCCTAAGCAATGAGAACAAAAAAGATGTCTTGATGTTTATAAAAACTTCTTTCAGCCATACCTGAGTTTATGTTAATGAGGTGACCAACCACGTGATAAGAACATTCAGTCTCCCCCAACCCCGCCCCAACCCCCAGAGAAGGGAGAAGGGCTAGAGGTTGAGTTCAATCAGCAATGGCCAATGATCTAATCAATACTGCCTAGGTAATGAAGCCTCCATAAAATCCCAAAAAGATTCAGAGAGCTTCCAGGTTGGGCAACCAAAATGCTTTCACATGCCACCACATGGGGCCCCAAATTCCACAAGGATAGAAGCGCCTTTGTTTGAGGCCTCACCCTATGTATCTCTCCATCTGGCTGTTGATTCATATTCTTTAATAGCCTTTTGTAATAAACCAGAGCAGGTTTCCTGAGTCCTGTGAGCTGCCCTAGCAAATTAATTGAACCCAAAGCGGGGGTGTGGGAATCTCTGATTTATAGCCAGTCCGTCAGAAGTATAGGTAACCACCTGGACTTGTGATTGGCATCTGAAGCTGGGTAGGGGAGGTCATTCTTGTGGGACTGAGCCCTTAACCTCTGGGATCTGATGCTATCTCCCAGTAGATACTATTAGCACGGAGTTGAATTGTAGGACACCCAGCAGGTGTCCAAGAATTGCTTGATGGTGTGGGGAAAACTCTCCACATCCCTACACAGTGCAGTTGGGTAAAGAACCCCTTTTAATGATGGAGAGAGGCTTTAGCTGGGCGAATCTAATTTTTGCATTCTTTTCCT